GTCCAAACCCTCCAAACACCTTGTCCAGCAGGCACCCCAGGGCCAAGGCCACTTCCCCAACAGGCACCCCAGGGCCAAGGCCACAGCAATGGCTTTCTATTGGCTTTCAAAGCTGCCGCCCCAGGGCCAAGGCCACTTCTCAAACAAGCACCCCAGGGCCAAGGCCACAGCAATGGCTTTCTATTGGCTTTCAAAGCTGCCGTTTGCCAGCCCGCAAACACTCCAAACGCTCCAAAACTCTCCAAACGCTCCGAAACCCTCCAAACCTTCCAAACACCATCCAAAACCCTCCAAACCCCCCAAACCTCCAAAACCTTCCAAACCCTCCAAACACCCTCCAAAACCGTCCAAACCCTCCAAAACGTCCAAACCCTCCAAACACCGTCCCCAGCAGGCTCCTCAGGGCCAAGGCCACTTCCCCAACAGGCACCCCAGGGCCAAGGCCACAGCATAGCTTTCTATGGGCTTGTAAAGGTACCAAACCCTCCAAAACCGTCTAAACCCTCCAAACACCCTCCAAACCCCTTCCGCCACAGGCACCCCAGGGCCAAGGCCACTTCTCAAACAAGCACCCCAGGGCCAAGGCCCTGGGCCAAGGCCACAGCAATGGCTTTCTATTGGCTTTCAAAGCTGCCGTTTGCCAGCCCGCAAACACTCCAAACGCTCCAAAACTCTCCAAACGCTCCAAAACCCTCCAAACCCTCCAAACACCCTCCAAAACCCTCGAAACCCCCCAAACCCTCCAAACCCTTCCAAACCCTCCAAACACCCTCCAAAACCGTCCAAACCCTCCAACACGTCCAAACCCTCCAAACACCGTCCCCAGCAGGCACCCCAGGGCCAAGGCCACTTCCCCAACAGGCACCCCAGGGCCAAGGCCACTTCTCAAACAAGCACCCCAGGGCCAAGGCCACAGCAATGGCTTTCTATTGGCTTTCAAAGCTGCCATTTGCCAGCCCGCAAACACTCCAAACGCTCCAAAACTCTCTAAACGCTCCAAAACCCTCCAAACCCTCCAAAACCCTCCAAACACCCTCCAAAACCCTCCAAAACTTTCCAAACCTTCCAAACACCTTCCAAAA